CGACACCAAGTGATACCAGTGGTCGAGATGGTCGCGTGCTCTCCCTCCAGTATTCGTACTTTGTACAGATATGCACATCAGTCCACCTCCCGCCTTAGCGCATAAACAATCAATCAAATAATATTTGTCCCTCTGTTCTCTGTCGCATCTCATGGTTTTTCTGGCCCTGGGCTTACAAGTAGTGTTCTGCGATTCCTCCTATTTGATGATCTTGACAAGCTCCATCTCATCTTTTCCCGTCTGTCCTGAAAAATAACCTGGTTTACTCATTCCGCGTGGAAGCCTTGGTTGATGCCAACCGACCACCGATTGTTTCACTTTATTTTGGCCGGCGATCCGATTACATACTACGAGTTTGGAGAACGGTACCAATGGGGGTAATGAGGATTGTGCAGATTTTGACATGTGATAATCCCTTGGCTTGGCATCATTTTGTACACACAGCCTTTCCAGCCTTGCGTGCGCATCAGGCTTGTCGAGCTCCCGTCTCCTATTTTCAGCGGCCCTCAATTGCCTCGAGTCAACCTACTTTTCATACCGTGTCTCTCTAAGGATTTGCATTGGAGTTGTCCCCAGGTGACGGGCCAAAGAATGACATTCTAAGACGACTCTAGATCGCTTAGCCTCTAATATTCGCCTCTATCTGGGCCCTCTTCTCCCTCGCTCAAGCCGTCATCTTCCGCACTCATTGAATCTGATGTCAAGGGCGCTCCGTCTTCGCCTTTTGTTTTGCGGCCTCGGGAACCATAGGAGATCACTTTCCACCCGTTGGCCTTGGTAGGGTCTTTCACATACTCTGACATTGGGAACTGTTGAGATCGTTAGTATCGATCAAGACTGCCATTGCATCCCGGTAACTTACATAGTGATCATTCTTTTTCATCGTCACCACCCATGGCACGTTGTCAAATGTCATTGCCCTCAACCGGAAGTACGTGTTATCATCAATCTTGTTGACTTCTTTGACGAATGCATCCAAGTCCGGAGTCTTCACTCCGTTCACATGAGTCACAAAATTGGTAGGTGCGAGCCCATATTGATAGGCTGGCGACCCGCGACTCCTAGCACTGACGTATATCTCCGAATGAAGCTTGCTGATCTGCTGTCGGACGGCGTGATGTGGCTTTTGAAGGACCGCTCCGCAGAAGATGACTGCCCGTGAGGTCTCCAAGTCTTCTGTAGGCACAGTCGGGACGCGAAGGCGAATCTCCTTGCCCTTCCGAACAACGAGCGCATCGAGCCATTCCTTGTCATACATGATATCGAAATCACTGACCCGAGTAATAAGTTGGTCATTGAGAGTTAAGATGATGTCGCCTTCTTGTAGTAATTGTCCGTCATTAGGTCCGTTGGCTGGACCACAGTCCACTTTCCTGACAATAAACAACTGATGTCGTGATGGATTCGCCTTGGCTACTTTCGAGATCCATTCTTCTGAGACCCCCATGATCCGACACTGCGACATCTGAACCACATAGGACTCCATATTTAGAATCCGAAGTTTGGGTATGATACCGGATCGGATCTGGTCGATGACTGGCTTGATCATGCTCGTAGCCAAGCCGAGATGGTATTCCGTGTCTCGATGACTACCTTGGCTTCTCTCCCCCATGTAGGTGAGCCACAGAGCTTGCACTGTGCCGTCGGCGCTCATCAGTACGCCAGACGCACACTGGGAAGATAAGCCCGTATCGATGGTAATGGCGTCGAGGTTGACCGCTCGATACCTGGGAGCCGCTGCATTTGCAGGTATCCCGACCGCTGTAATGTCCGTGACCGTCGTTTTCGCAACGACGGCTCTATGGTTCTGGTTGAAGCCCACGAAGATCGTGTCAGCGCCTTGCTTGATCATCTCGGTAGATAGCTTCGCAGTTTGCACCGGTGCATGTACCAGTGAGGGATCGTATTGAATCACAGTGTAGTTGGTCAACGGGTGAAGAAACACAACTTTCCCCTCGATTTGTATCGAATCAGCAACCGTCACAGTAATGTCACACAGGTCGTACGGAACTGTGGCTCGGGACACCACCACCAGGCCTTTCTCGGCGTCAATCACCAATCCAAAACCCGTTCTCCGCGCTTGAGGGTACCCATCAATTTTAACGGGCATGTAACATGTTATCTTAAGAAAGGATCGAATGATTTCGGCCGCAGCAGGCAGATTGACGCCGTCCAGCTGGATGAAATCTGCCGACTTTGGCACTTGTGGTATCGCGGGCAGCGCCTTTCCAAGGTCCTTGAAATCCCAGAGTCCGGTCTCATCATTTCGCACGGACAACCTCATTTTTGGATGCCAATGTCGATCGATATGGACGATCGTAGTGGCCCGAGTATGAAGATCCCTAATATGTCGGTATGAAATGACGATTCGAGATCGGTCAGGAATGGTTTTCATAACCTCAATGAAGGTGTCGAGGTCGGGTGTCGGTTTCTGGTCCACTGTGTCAATGATCCACCCAGAAAGAGCGCTATCGAGTTTGAACGAGCCGGCAGCTTCACACACATACAGCCCTTTACAGGCGATGGCGTATAACCGAGCTTGCTGATAGGACAAATTGTGAAAGCTTCCGCCAGCCACTGTGACAAATCGGTCTGGGGTAATTGCATGAAGATCTTCCACCGCCAGTGTCACTTCGTGATCTTCGCCCCCGCGCTGAAACAAGAGGTCGACCTTGCCACCAACGCTGGAGTCAAGAATGGCGTCAAGTTTGACGAAGGACGTCAATAACTCCCCGTTGACCTTGATCAAAACATCCCCTTCCTGGATCTTGTTATCGGCAGGTCCTTCAGGTAGTACAATCTCGGCGACAAGCATACTGTTCTCTTTCGGATGGACTTTTCGGACTGCTGATTCCCAGTTAGGTGTCAAACCTAACCTTCGACAATCGTCAAAGGGTTTCAGCATCCATTGGGTCTGGATCGTCCCTCGGTTGATTGGTTCTCCTCGTTGAAGGCACTGAAGCGCACGTAAGGGACGGTCAAGCGGTAGGAAATAATCAGTGGCGGCACCATCGATACGGCCGCCTGCCTGTAAAGCAACCGCATGTCCATTTAAATTGACCACGGGACTGCCGGAGCTTCCGCCTGTAGCGGCAGCAGCAGCTTGGATATAGTTGGTGTTGAAGTCACTATAGCCTTCCCCATACTCTGGAGCATTGCGATCGAGCCGACTGATAACCCCCGAGAGAATGCTGAGCTTCTCACCAGCGTCGTTGCCGACTACCCTTATTTCCACGCCCACTCTTGCCGACTCCGGCTGTAGTTTGAGTGCTTGGACATTCATATACTTGATAGCTTTAGGATCGAATTTCAGGATGCCAAAATCGTGGACAGGGTCGCGATAGACAGGTTTCACGTCGCACTAGGTGAGGTTATTGTCAGCAGTCGGTCAAATTGGCAGGCATCTGGGGTGAGCAAACTGTAACCCACCTCTTCATGGTTGTCGAACACGCAATAACCCCAAAACGGACCGGCACAGACGACATGGCGATTGGTCATGATGTAGCCATTTTCGGCGTCAACCACGAACCCCGTAGCTTGGGAAGAAAGGGACAAGTCGGTGTCAAAAGAGCAGGTCTGGCAGAAGTGAATGGACACCACACTCTTAATAACTCGCTCTATAGTAGCCTGCCATTCTGGTGAATCGCCTGCGGCAGGAACGGGATTGATGATGGGGACTGAGGTCGAGTCGGCCTCGATATCGTAGACAGAGCCATTTTGAGGAGTAGCGTTTCCGGGTGTAGGCACTCCATTTTCCGGCTTCAGTTGTTTCTTGGGTCTCTCCAACGCCGACGTGGGGCTTGTCCTTCTCTTCAGTCTCAGTTCGCCATTGGCAGACATATCGGAAAGAGCAGAGGCAGAGAAAGGGCGAGGACGCTGTGATGTTGCCAAAGGATTTTGGAGGCGTCGGAGGCGGGTATGCAGTAGGGATGTTGCAGATCGGAAGGATGCAGCGGTACCTTCCGGCGGTATTCTGGGGTGAGCGGATAGTTTATGTATGAATGTAAAAGGTTGACAGGATGTCCTGAGGCGATGGGCGCGTAAGAGGGTTGTGAAGACGGCACTGTGAGAAAAGTTCGATGCAGAAATATCGCAGACCCGATTGAAAGTAGAAGATGCCCTAGAGAGATTGGGGCAGATACTGGATATCATCCAGGTTATGAAATACAGCCCACAAAGGTCAACAGATGCTCCAGAAGCAACAACTACTTTAACGTCGCCAGTAAAAGCAATGCAGTGTTGATTCCGACCAAGACAAGGCTGAGCTGCGCTGGAAATAATATTAATGCCTCAGCCTTAGGCAGGAACAACTCCCCTCCACCGTCGACTCTTGGCGCCTTGTGACTGAGCCTCGACACTCGTTACAGGTTTTCCGTTAGCGAGGACTGACTGACGAACATGACTACAGGAGATAGTGAATTGAATTGTCATCGTGAACATCCTGAGGAATCCATCATCCCAAGGAGATACTAAAGGTCATTGCTGCACCTGAAACGACTTTAATCATTGAGAGTATCACATTGAGCCTGTAAATGGTTCCAAATACCGCAAGTATAATCTACATAGCATCCTATTCTGAGCCCCTCCATTTCTGAATGCCGCAAGGCTTTCTCTGTTGTATAGGCTGGAAGATTCGTCGTTTTCGCACGACCGCGATCACCCGCTGAAATGGTACCGAAACCTCAAGATATCTCTGGCAGGCAGCTGCGGCCTATTGTATTTGATCGCCACTGCAAAGGGGTTGACCAAGCCTGGAATAAAACCAGTTTGACGGGTCTGTAGCGTGAGCTTCGGGGCACATCGTTCTCCAATTATATCATATCTTCTGAAAACCAAAATGTTAGCCATGAGACGTGTTCCACATAATCCGCTGAACGCTAATCCTTCAACGAACATATACGGGCTTGAGGTGTTTCATCAAGCAAGCCATTCGAGGGTGGACGCAACTTCATTGGAAGTTTGACGGTTCTAACAGTCTCTGTGCGCCAAACCGCGCACACTCAGCCTTGCGCAGAAGTGAACGGTATTTGCGATTTGGGACCAGTGTTCGGGTTTTGCGCGGTGGCTTGCGCCATTGCTTTGTTGATAGCCGAGTGGCTTGCCTCTGGGAACAGAGCGTTCAGCCTTTTATACAGCTCATTCACCTGCGGCAAATGAGGTGGGGGAATCATAATTGCTGGTCCCGAAGGCAGGGCTCCATTGGCCTTCTTTTTGGCATCCGCAATCGCGGCCAAGTAGGATAGATTGGCCTGCAGCCGCCGCATGCATTCTGCATATTCTTGTGATGGTGGCTTTGACTGAGGCGTGCCTCCTGCCGATTTTGGTGGCTCTCCTGGGCTATTGGTGATGGTGTTGGCCGCATCTGCTGCCGAAGTGGGCGAGGTAGGTGATTGTTGTCCCTGGTTAGATGTGGTTCCCGCCTTTCCCTGGGCCTGTAATGACACAACTTCCTGCAGCAAATGGGTATTGATCTCCAGCAACACCGAGACTCGTGCTCGCTCCCTCGCAGCAGACTGTGCTGAGATGGCCGCACCAGCGCTTGTGTGGTGCTGTTGTTGTGAATGCTGCTGGGGCGGAGCAGCGCGAGCGACTTGTGTCGCATTGTGAATTTGGGCTTGTTGAGCCAATGTGGAACTCGATTGGCCTGCCAGGGCCATGTTTGCTGCCATGTTCATATCCAGTGACGTTGGCGCAGAGGCAGGCGGTAAGGGATGAGCTGAAGTTGTCACAGTCTGTAACTGGGTAGGACTGGACGTTAGGTTGGCTCCTTGATTCACTGGGACGGGGACAGGAGTTTGCCCATTAGAGGGATGCCCTGCCTGGTAGTGAGCACTGTGTCCAAGTCCACGGTCAGGGAGAAGATTCTGACTTACCTTTGGCCTGCGGGCTATAGCTGGATCGACTCTCCGGACGCGACGCCGTACCAATCTGACCGAGATGTTGTTGGTAGAGATGGTGAGGAACAGGTTGCTGGGCCTGATGAGGGTGGGATAAGGGCCTCTGGATCTGATTTGGGATCATGCCCGGCTGAAATGGAGTCTGGGCATGATCAAAGGGAGTTCCGGGAGGGATGGCGTAGCCGACATTGGGCTGGGGATTGATGAAAGCGTACGGCCCTGGATTTTGGGAATCATATAAGGGTAAGGCGGGGTTGTTCATGGCTTTTCTGGAAGTGCTAGCAGTCGTTTGATTGGGCCCATGAGCTAACTAATGAATTTGTGAAGATGCGAAGCGTAGCGTAGCCTTGAAGCAAACGTGGGTTGATGCGGTGTGTGTGTTTTGACTAAGGCAGGGTGGCGCTGCAGCGGGTAGCGGCTGGTCGCCGCCAACTGACGCCAAAATTCCTCTCGCCGAAACAGGCTAAAAGCGTGCGCCAGGCGTCATTCGGTCCGTGGCAAAGAGGGTCTTTGACAGGGGTCAGGCACTGTGGTGCTGGGAGCCGGGATTTTGGGACGGGAGGAGGCTGATACAGGGTTGGTCAGATAGGTGCTTGTACCTATGTAGATGATCAGTGATGGTGGGTGGACGAGCGAGAATGACTGGGACTAAAGGTGAGAAAGAAGGCTTCCTAAGCCACAGCCTTTCTTTGCCTTTGCCTTTGCCTTTACCTTGCACCCCGTTCCCTTGGCAAACCACCTCGGAAGGTGCGGCTATGTGTTAAGTGCTGAGAACAGCACAGGTGAACAGATCCTACAGCCAGGTCCATGTTGTACATGTCTCTATTTGCCCCTTTTCTTCTTCATCTCTTCTATCCATTGAGGTGCAAGTGACACTGGCACCACATAAATCCTAACCAGCCCGTCCACCACCTCAGTCTTCCCATTGGAGAGTGCCTCCAGCAAAGTCAGCTTCTTACCGACTTTCATGAGCCCACCGCTGATGGTATCCATGTAGCAGTCTACTGTCGACAGTTTGTATTCGTTCTTGCTATCCCACGGCAAGGGTAGTATGTAGCTCAGGTGATGTGTTATGGCATCTTTCTCGGCCCAGGCCTTGATTAGATCGGTCTGGTTATGCATCGGATAGAGCAACATCACTGGGAATTCTAGCAGACTTTTGGGCGATAGCGGATCTGGCGACAACCGAATGGTCGCGTCTTCCAAGTTCGGAGGGTGTTTAGATCCACGGACAACGATCTTTCGTGCCTTCAACGCCGCGTCTAACGCTGCCTTCTCCTGTTGTTTCCTTCTCAGCTCTGCTAAGCGCCGGCGGTCTTCTGCCTCTTTGACTGCCATCCGGCTTCTGATCTGGTCCAACAGTTTCTTCAAAGCTGTATTGGTTGGATCGAGTTTGAATCCACGAGATGCCACATCCAGTGCTTCGAGAACTTTGTCCAGCGCGAGCAGGGCGGAGGCCGACCTATAATGCGCTTTGATGTTTGCAGGGTTAATACGTAGTGCAGCAGCACTGTCTTGGATGGTTGACCGGTAGTTTCCTGATCAGTTAGCATACCTTCAACTGTAAATGTTAGAGCATCCCTACTCAATTCCAGATTACACCGGGCTCGATTGACGAGTAGTTGTTCGTGAAGCAGGACTCGAAGCGTCTCTTCTGCGGTCTCGTCTTCAGGCTTGTCCCACTTGTCTTCGTCCTTGGTTGTTAGGACTGCAAGCCCTTTGGTGTAGAACTCTCTGGCATCCTTCCACTTCTTCTCCGCGACCATTTCGTTCCCACGCTCTTTAAATCCTTGTGCCACTTCCGCTTTTGTTCCCTCGTTTTGCAGGGCTTTAATGGCCTCGAGCATTATATTCTCTCCATCTGCACACCATTGCTCAGCCAAATGCCTGAGCAGCCGTAGGTTTGAGCGTACCGTCGGTAGTCGCTTCGTCAAGACTGTTCATAAAGAGCGGGGTTTTGCTCATATCCTGCACGATTTCTTCGAAGCTCTTGGAAGACATCTGGTTTTGTGAGGGACCAGACGCCGAGATGTGCTGATCGTACAGCTCTTCGATTGAGGGCAGGTTCTTGGGCGCATCATTGAGACTGACATGCTCATCAAAGTCATCTGGAAGCTCTTCTATCTGCGACATGTTCGGGCATAGGATGAATGGTCGCAATTACATAGGAATCTAACAGGCGAGACCTGGGTGCCTGAACAGAAAATATTGGTGCGGGGAAAACAACAACCTGATCTCGAATTAAATTCACCTCTCCCAATCTGTTAACACTGGAAGTCCATTTATTACCTATCAGTGACCTGAACCGACACAACTGTATACATATGGATATAGGTTTTTTCAATAACTCCTAGGTAGCTCCAGGACCTTTTCGCTCACAAAGTTCAGAATCATCTCTCGACTGATCGGAGCGATCCTTGGAACAAAGATTTCCCTCATGTATCTCTCCACGTCGTATTCCATGGCATAGCCCATACCACCGTGGCTCATGACCGCTCTCTCACAAGCCTTGAATGCTGCCTCGGCCGCCAAATATTTTGCGCTGTTGCATGCGACTCCCACCGCATGGGGGCTGATGGTGGCATCCGTTCTGCTCCGATCATATAACCGAGCAGCATGATACGCTGCTAACTTGGCCGCTTCCAGGTTCATGTAGGCGTCAGCCAGAGGATGTGCAATAGCTTGGTTCTTCCCAATGGGTCTGCCAAAGACAACTCTCTCTCTGGCATACTGTGCAGCCTTCTCGACCGCTGCATAACCAAGTCCAAGCGCTTCTCCCGCAAGGAGACACCTTTCTGCATTCATTCCATGCAGGATGATCTTGAATCCTTGACCCTCTTCTCCAATGAGAGTGTTCTCTGGCACCTCATAGTGATCGAAAAAGACCTCATTGGCGTCAACAGCTCGTCCGCCCATCTTCTTTATTTTTTTGAGTTCCAGTGCGGGGTTGGATCTATCAATATCAATACAGAACATGGACAGCCCCTCGCTCGGCCTCTTCACGTCTTCCAAGGGGGTTGTCCGGGCCAGGAGGATCATCTTAGAAGCGACCTGTGCGCACGTGATCCAGATCTTTTGTCCTGTGGCAACTATAAACATCCCTTCCGCTATGGAAAGATCTTGGTGACTACTTACCAGTGATGATGTACTTGTCCCCCTTCCGGGTGGCGGTTGTCTTTAACCTCAACGTGTCCAGCCCAGTGTTTGGCTCAGTCACACCGAAGCACACTCTCCATTTGCCACTGATGATGTTCGGGATTGTAGATTGTAGTTGATCTTTATTTCCAAACTTGGCCAGTGGTTGCGTCTGTTGGACCAGTCAGTGACTAATTTCCGACAATTATAGGGACCAGGAGAACCAGCTAACCGCATAGACATTGGCATGAATGGATTGAGCACCTGCCATGCCTGCACCGGATTGAGATATTGTCTGCAGCATCATGGTCGCTTCGGAAATGCCCAGTCCTGCGCCGCCAAATTCTTCCGGAAGTGCAATACCAAGCCAACCATCAGCCGCCAGTGCGGCATGCAATTCCTTAGGATCGGTCTCAGTTTGGTCATGTTGTTGCCAGTAGTCGTTCGGGAATCGAGCACAGATCTTCTGAATAGCCTCACGCACGGTCAATTGTTCCTCGGTGAAACAGCTTGTCTCCATGATACTGCTTTTCCTAGTTGCAGAGAAATGCCTTCTTCCATGGTGGGCAAGTGCTTGTTGCCACAACCGAGGTTGTGAGGAGACAGCCGACTGTGACTTCGATGTAAGCTGTCGCGACAGCCGATTAAGACACTGCCTTGCAGGCATTGTGGCGATCAAGAAGCGGAGGGAGCTTCAATTCCAGGGGACGAAGGTGGAATCTGTAGAGTCGATCAACGCTAGTTGGAGAGGAATGAGCGATGTATTTTAATATGAAGACGGTCCCGGTTGGAGACAACTCCGAGATCGCTGCCCGTCTCCAACTAAGCTCTGAGGGTGTGGAACGCCTTGCTTCGAGTGTAACGCATCGAGCCAATCGTTAGCCTCCCGCCAGTGTCTCGAAAATACCATCTTAGTTTTCGAGACGGTAAAGACGGAGTATCTCGGAAACGGGGGCATGCTGTCAGGGGTTTCGCCGTACTGTCGGCATCATCATGTGCAACCACCGCTGCATAGCCGTGTCCCACTATTAGCGTTCTCGATTGTGATTAATCGAAACACAGTTTAGCCTAGAGAGTATAGCTGATTAGGTACGATCGCAAGAATCAGAAAGAAAAAGAAATGTTCTTTTGGAGCTTTAGTGAAACACACTAATAAACTTGTTCCAGAGTTATGACACGACAGTGCCATACAGCGCACGTGACCACGTGCTCCGCGCTAAGACCAATGCAGCTCTAACCAAAACATACCAGATGATTCCCACATGCAGCTTCATTGAACTCGACTTCTCACCCTCATAACTGGCTCCTGATAGTCCACTATCTTGCCACAACAACAATGCACTTCTTCACAACCAGGGAGATACTTTTACAAGAGCCTTAAACCTAGCCCATCAAGCCATTTATCGTTTTCATCTGCGCGTCGACATCTCCGAGCACAATGGCCAACAAAGGTGCAGCAGTGGGTTCAGTGTCCTGGATCGCTGCTGAGAAAGAGAATGCTCTAAATCTCCTACAAAATGAGAAGGAAGAAGTTATATTTCCAGCCCAGCACCAGCTCGAATGGCTCAACGAGCACATGGCGGAGATATTCAACAAGGGCCATCTGTATGTCCAACTCATGAACTGCTATGTCTGTGAGGTTTCTGACCAGAAATAGTGATGTTGCCAACATCTTTAAGACACCTGGAAAGCTTCGAGGGAAAACTCCTCGTACTGCAAGAAAACGAAACGCTCAAGACGCTCGAATAGTAAGCTGATGCAATTAAACCCCCACTACCACATGCGACGACAGACTAATGCCTGTCCCTAGCCTTTGAGCGACGTCTTCTCATCAAAGCCCTTACCAAGGCAAAGTCCTCAGAAAAGGCCTGATCAGCCCAGACTACGCTTTGAAATATCGACCGATCCTGACCACACGGAACAACGACCCATCAAATCACAGACCGACTCCGGGTACCACACCGCAAGCCAGGACGATGTGGACATTGGCATAGATCCTTATTCGAGGAATGTACTAGGAGCTGCACATGAAGAAATCTCTGACAACACTGTACCGACTTCAGAGCATAACGTCGAGGATGCCATGGACGAAGGACATCGTACTACGGAAGGATCGTTTCATTCGGCAAAAGAAGACCAGACAACGAAGATGACAGGACTAGAGGGTGCTAAGAAGGAAATTGCATCTGAGAGTGTGTCTCTGGATGCTCATCCAGTCGAAAGTACCGTTGGCAAAAATGAGTCGCAAGCAGAAATACATCCCGACCTGGATGACATTGGCTCCCCTTCCGATGAGTCGACTCCTGAAAGACCTTTGGTGAGGAAGAGCAGTCTCACATTTGCCTCACTTCCGGCACGAGAGCCACTGAAATCAAGTATTGGCACAAGAATCTCCCGGACAAGTCATGTCGATCAGGCTCATCGACCACCATCAAGTGCATATGGGATACGACCAGCTGTTCCTTCGAATCAGAACCTACAACACCCATCACGTGATGACGACAAAGACGTTGAAATGGACGACGCAGACGATGAAACTGACTCGAATGTGCAGATCTTGGGCCATGATGACTCCGAGAGCGAAAACCAAGTCACCAAAGACCACTCCAAATTCTCCACGCAAAGACTGCATGAAAAGATCGACATGCTTGGAAGAGTTGCTGCCCCACGACCGTCCAAATCTATCCATTCTACTGTCGTCCTGCCAGATGTGAAGCAACTGGACGAACAGCGTCAGAAATTGCAAAATGAAAAACCGATGCAGGTCGTTAATGACGATGATGACGACTGGATCAAGCCCCTGACTGGTCCAGAAGGCGCTATGTCATCTCCCTCGAGGAATGCTCCAGCTGTGGAATCAGATTCTGAGGAGGAATTCGATCTTCGGGCTCCCGAATTGATCGCGCACGACGAACGCATGAGGTCTCCTGCACGTACGTCACCCGGTCCTGGTAAGACAATGCCAGGCTTTGGGCACACGAAATCTGCGTCAACTGCTACCCTGGCTTCACCTGCAAAGGCATCCATGGCACCTCCGCCAAGCCCCGCGAAATCCATATCAGTGTCGAATCCAACTCAAGGAATAACAACTCCGCAGGGTTCGCCGAGGCGATATCTCGATCTGAGTGCTTCGAAGTCGAAGTTGCAATCCATAATGAAGACCGCCAAAGGTCTGTTCACTAGCAGCGCAAGTGTCTCGGCCGCAGCCAAGTTGGAAACTTTGTCTCCACATGCTCTCAAGGTGACTTCGAATGCAATGCCTGGAATGTATCCTAACTTGAACGCGCTCATTGAAGATAAACCTTTACCTGCAAATCCTCCAAAAGAGGCGAGAAAGACCCGCAGTTCCACCGAGAGAGAAAGAGAAGAGAGACGAAAGGAAAAAGGAGCACACTTGAAGCACCGAATGGATGAGCAACTGGAGAGGGCCCGAGAAGAAGAGAGAAGGAAAGTTGCAGAGCAAACGCTCGCGCGTGAACAAATGGCGAAAAAGAATTCCGACCAACGCCAGCCTTCAAGCCCAAAACACCTTACGGTTGAGCAGCATGAACCGATTGAATCGGCAGCAAGACCAACCAGGCCGATTAGACTCGGAAAAGACCATCCGATTAACAAGGCTAAACCTGCACCAGTATCCATCCGGGTTGGAACTCTCTCTCAACGAATGCCAGCCAATACATCTCAAGCAGCTCCGAGCGCTCAGGAAACCCTGGCTGCAGAGCCTAAGCGCCCAGGGTTGAATAAGAAGGCCAGCACTGCTTCATTGCAATCATCAACAATCACGAACATGAAATCATCGGTCCACGCGCCTCCGAAGCCCAGGGCATTGCTTGCAGCAGAACGCAAAAAAGAGCAGGACGAACGAGAGGCACAGAGAAAGCTTGAACAGAAGCGAGAACTGGAGCGTAAGCGAGCAGCTCAACAGGAAGAGGCGCGAAGGCAAGAGCAGAGGCAACGAGCAGAGGCAGAGAAGCGTGAACGTGAACGAGTGGCAGCAG